TCCATTTTCTCCTCCCCCATCTTTCTGTCATCCTGCCCCTTTCTCGGTAGCCTTCCATCTTTCCAGCTCTGAGGGAAAAGAGGGGGGGTCCTTCCTTGATCCTCTAACTCTTAAATCTATCCTTCTGACCTTTCCGTCTTCTCTCAATGGTAAAGTTCTCAAAAAGAATCGCTCCATTTGCAGCATTTACTTCCTCCTTGCCCACTGTTATTTACTATTTTGTATTCTTGTTTATATTTTTATACAAATGGGGGAATTTATATGCATTTTCTACCCTTTACTTTGTTCACATAAAATATCTCAGAACTTGTTCTATGCCAGTTACTCAAAGCTGCCTCAATCTTTAAATGGCTGTCAAGATTCTGCTGTGAGAATGTGCCATAAATTCTGTTCTCTGGACATCGAGAAGATTTCTAGCTGTTTGCTCTATCAAACGTGCTGTAGTGAGCATCTTTAGACATAGAGGATTTTTTCCACCCTTGCGAATGCATCTGTAGAATAAATCCACAGAAATGAAATTGCATTTTGCATTTGGAATTATATTGTTCTCTGTAGAAGTTGTGCCAATTCATCCACCCACAGCAAGACATGGGAAGGCCTCATTTCCCCTTGTACTGTCCAACCAACTTTTTTAAACAAATGTTTTTATTTTTTCCAGTCTGAAAGATTTTTTAAAAGTGCACCTTTAATTTGCATTTCTCTTTATGAACGAAGTCAAGCATTTGCTTCTGTTTGAGAGCCAATTGTGTTTCTTCCTCTGTGAATCATCTGTTCCCATCCTTTGCCCTTTTTTTTTTTTTACTTTTAGCAATTCTAGGAGCACTCTATATTAGAACATTAATTCCTTATCTATGGTATGTGTTACAAATATTTTTAGTCCCTCTGTGACTCTTTGCAATATGTCTTCTGTACCCAATAAAACAAATGCAACTTCTCCTATTGGCTGCCCATGCTCTCCTACTTGTAAAATCCAATGGCCTTTCTGTGAGTCCTCTTCCGTCTCCCAGCACTTGACACCACTGACCCATCCTCTTTTTTTTTGTTTTGGTGGTGGTGATGGTACTGGGGGTTAAACTCAGGGCTAGTCAGGTGCTCCACCAGCTGTTTTGTGTTGGATATTTTCAAGATAGGGTCTCGCAAACTATTTGCCCCTGTTGACTTCAAACCTCGATCCTCCTGATGGTCTCTGTCTCACAAGTAGTTAGGATTAGAGGCAAGAGCCACCAATACCCAGCAACCCAGGCTTCTTTTCTTTTTTTTTTTATTCATATGTGCATACAATGCTTGGGTCATTTCTCCCCCCGCCCCCACGCCCTCCCTACCACCAACCCCACCCCTTCTCCCCCCCCACCCCCTCGATACCCGGCAGAAACTATTTTGCCCTTATCTCTAATTTTGTTGAAGAAGAGTATAAGCAATAATAGGAAGGAACAAGGGTTTTTGCTGGTTGAGATAAGGATAGCTATACAGGGAGTTGACTCACATTGATTTCCTGTGCATGTGTGTTACCTTCTAGGTTAATTCTTTTTGATCTAACCTTTTCTCTAGTTCCTGGTCCCCTTCTCCTATTGGCCTCAGTTGCTTTAAGGTATCTGCTTTAGTTTCTCTGCATTGAGGGCAACAAATGCTATCTAGTTTTTTAGGTGTCTTACCTATCCTCACCCCTCCCTTGTGTGCTCTCGCTTTATCATGTGATCAAAGTCCAATCCCCTTGTTGTGTTTGCCCTTGATCTAATGTCCACATATGAGGGAGAACATACGATTTTTGGTCTTTTGGGCCAGGCTAACCTCACTCAGAATGATGTTCTCCAATTCCATCCATTTACCAGCGAATGATAACATTTCGTTCTTCTTCATGGCTGCATAAAATTCCATTGTGTATAATACCACATTTTCTTAATCCATTCGTCAGTGTGGGGCATCTTGGCTGTTTCCATAACTTGGCTATTGTGAATAGTGCTGCAATAAACATGGTGTGCAGGTGCCTCTGGAGTAACCTGTGTCACAGTCTTTTGGGTATATCCCCAAGAGTGGTATTGCTGGATCAAATGGTAGATCAATGTTTAGCTTTTTAAGTAGCCTCCAAATTTTTTTCCAGAGTGGTTGTACTAGTTTACATTCCCACCAACAGTGTAAGAGGGTTCCTTTTTCCCCCGCATCGTCGCCAACACCTGTTGTTGGTGGTGTTGCTAATGATGGCTATTCTAACAGGGGTGAGGTGGAATCTTAGTGTGGTTTTAATTTGCATTTCCTTTATTGCTAGAGATGGTGAGCATTTTTTCATGTGTTTTTTGGCCATTTGAATTTCTTCTTTTGAGGAAGTTCTCTTTAGTTCACTTTCCCATTTCTTTATTGGCTCATTAGTTTTGGGAGAATTTAGTTTTTTAAGTTCCCTGAATATTCTAGTTATCAGTTTTTTGTCTGATGGCAAATATTTTCTCCCACTGTGTGGGTGTTCTCTTCAGTTTAGAGACCATTTCTTTTGTTGAACAGAAGCTTTTTAGTTTTATGAGGTCCCATTTATCTATGCTGTCTCTTAGTTGTTGTGCTGCTGGGGTTTCGTTGAGAAAGTTCTTACCTATACCTACTAACTCCAGAGTATTTCCTACTCTTTCCTGTATCAACTTTAGAGTTTGGGGTCTGATATTAAGATCCTTGATCCATTTTGAGTTAATATTGGTATAGGGTGATATACATGGATCTAGTTTCAGTTTTTTGCAGACTGCTAACCAGTTTTCCCAGCAGTTTTTGTTGAAGAGACTGCTTTTTCTCCATCTTATATTTTTAGTGCCTTTGTCAAAGACAAGTTGGTTATAGTTGTGTGGCTTCATATCTGGGTCCTCTATTCTGTTCCACTGGTCTTCATGTCTGTTTTTGTGCCAGTACCATGCTGTTTTTATTGTTATTGCTTTGTAATATAGTTTGAAGTCAGGTATTGTGATACCTCCTGCATTGTTCTTTTGACTGAGTATTGCCTTGGCTATTCGTGGCCATGCTTGTTGAAAACTCTTTTTAAAATTATATTCACTGGTATCTCAGATAATATCCCACTTTTCTGACTATTACTTCTCTTATTGCTTCATGAAATTCCTGTGACAAATGCCCCTGGGAAAGATGGTCTTTGCCCTCTGCCTCAGTGGTTCCCAGGGGGACCCCAGATGGAGATCACACTGACTAGAGTCTTCCTTAGCACCTGGAGTCTAGTGGGAGGTGCAGACAAGGTAGACTCAGGACACTTTACTTAACTCTTCTTTTTTCAGGCCCCACCTCAAATTCAACATGTATAAGAACTGCTCATCCCAGCTTCTCATCTCCTAATCCTTCTAGGTTTGAAACCTCAGTCTCCCCAGCCCAGAAGTTGTCAGGTGCTACCAATTCTTCTGCGGAAATCTTGTCCACTCCTCTCCTCCTTCTCAGGACTATGTCATCCTGCTTGCCACAGTGTTCTTGCTGTCCCCAGTGTCCCCTCGTAACCATGTCTTCTATGATTCCTTAACACTTTCTCTGCTGCAGTCCTGCACACCCAGTCTTCCTCTGCTTAGGGACTCTCGGTTCCTCCCACACACCAGTCCCCCTCACTTCCTCCTCACAAAAAAAAAAAAAGCTCCTCACAGAGCTTTAGCTCTGCACAAAGCTAAAACCCAATGTGAATTTGAGGAAGCCTGGATCAACATGCAGTACTCTGACATCCTACTTCTAGCAGATGGCATTTTCAAAAATTCCACTTAAGAAAGATAGATCCAGCCCAGTACGGTGGCTCGTGCCTGTAATCCTAGCTACTTGGGAGGTTGAGTTTGGAAGGATTGTGATTCAAGCCCAGCCAGGGCAAAAAGTTCACAAGACCCCATCTCAACCAACAGTGGTGTGCTCAGTTGTGTGTGCCTGTGATCCCAAGCTGCACCGGCTAATATGGGGAAGGATCATGGTTCCAGGCCAGCCTGGGCAAAAAAAAAAAAAAGTTTGTGAGGCCCCATCACAATGGCAAAAAGGTGGCACGTCATCTTTAGGATGACAGGAAGTGTAAAATAGGAGCATTGCACTAGCCTAGGCAAAAAGCAAGACCCTATCTCCAAAATAACCAACCAAGAAGGGCTGGAGGTGTGGCTCAAGTGATAGACTACCAGCCTAGCAAACAAAAAAGCAGCTGGGTGAGGTGGCTCACACCTGCAATCCTAGCTACTTTGGAGGTGGAGATTGACAGGATTGGGGCCAGCCCAAGCAAAAAGTTCCTGAGACCCCCATCTTAACTAATGGCTGGGTGCAGTGGCAAAGGCACACACACACATACACGCACCTGTGTTTTAATTATTCCTTTGGACATATCAGTGTTTGGGGGAGGTTTTTGCCATGTTTGTTTCTTGTGAACTTAATCAATCTACCAGAAGGCCATTTTATTCTAGTTTCCCCAACTCCTTCCCTGGAGAACCCCTCTGCTTGTTTTTCACTTTTGCTGCACTTGTACCCAGAAACAACCGAGTGGCAAGAGGCCATGTCAAGACTCTGCTCTGTGGGTAGTCCCACGTACTATCAGTAATACCACATCAGGGGAAAGGTGTCCTAACCTTAGCACTCTGAGGCCAGTGTCCCTTATCCACCAGCACCAGAAAGACCCTGCAGGAGAACGACCTCCTGCCCAGAGTCACAGCAGAGCCCTCTGACGTTCTAAGAGCCGTGGATGGCTGGCTCCGCAATTAAGAGTTTCTTGGGGCTCAGTACTCACTGTCTCTGTTCTGAGGGTTGTCCCCATCCTTACACAGATTGTTAATCAGGATGTTATTTGGGGCCAGTAGACAGAAGAGAGCGAGAAGAGGGCACATCTGGGATTGCAGAGGAACTCCAACTACTGCTCTGGGGCGAGAAAGAGAAAGGAGGGGAGAGGTGGGGGCTGGAAGGGGTGGAGACCGCTGGGCTGGCCCAGGCGGGACAGTGCACGGTGTGTGCGCTCTGCGTCGAAAGGGCAGTGGGACAGAGCCCAGGACGCACGCAGTTTCCAAGTGTCTTGCTCTTCCTGTTGGAGCCATGGCAGAGAACTCCGACAAAGTCCCTATCACCCTGGTGGGGCCAGACGACGTCGAGTTTTGCAGTCCCCCGGTGAGTACCACCGGGATCTCCAGTCCTCCTGCCGGGTAGTCCACACTAGCTCAGGCTGCCCAAGGGTGTCCGGATCCACTACCACGGGTTGGGTATTTGTGCCATTGAACGTGCGATGGGTCGGGGGACGGGGGTGGGGCGGCAAATTTGGGTGCCCAGATGTGTGCGTGGAATGGCATCCCGCGCGAGAGTGTGCAGGGGGCTTGGAATTCACAGATGGGAGGGGAGGGAGTCATCCTGTGGCAACAGAGAAGGCGATGTCCCTCGAGGACCAGAGACCCTCGGGAGGGATAGCGGAGGAAGAGGTCCCTGAGGAGCTCAGGGAGAGCCACTTCCCCCAACCCCCAGAGTACACACACGCCGATTCCCCGGGGCCCCGGCGCAGGGACGCGCAGTGGCGACCCGTCCCTCTCCGTCCCGGCCCGCAGGCGTACGCCACCGTGACCGTGAAGCCCTCCAGCCCCGCGCGGCTGCTCAAGGTCGGAGCCGTGGTCCTCATTTCCGGGGCGGTGCTGCTGCTCTTCGGAGCCATCGGGGCATTCTACTTCTGGAAGGGTAGCGACAATCACGTAAGTCCAAAGTGTGGTGTGCGGGGCACCGACTGGGGTCCGGGTGCGTTGGGCGGAGAGGGGCGCAGGGTCCCGAGGCGTGCGGGGTGCCAGGTCCTCTCTGTCACACTCAAGATCCCCTCTAGGTGGAGCCAGAGTGCTGGTCGGCGAGGGGAACTCAGTGGTTGGCTGGCCTGCTGGTCACCGTGAGGCCCGCCTTCTGGGTCCTCTGGGGACACCTCTCTTCCACCCAGCTCTACTGCTGTCTGCTCATAGGCAACATGGTGGGGAGGCAAGTCGGGGTTTGAGAAAGAGCACTGGAACAGCACTAGGGAAGGCAGCAGACCGTGGCAGGAAAGCCGACTTGGCCCATCCTGGCCTGGCACTTCCACTTGCCACTTGTGTGACCATGAGTAGCGCACGTTGCCTAATTGAATTCAGCTTACTCACTCACAAAGGAAGAAATGGAACTGAATGACCCTCAGTGCCTGTCCCAGCTGAGAAAAGCTATAAATTTAAGACCTAGCACAAGGGGAAGGAGAGGAATATTTAGACCCATAGTGAGAGGTGAATTTTGATCCTTTAGGAGGCTGGTTGTGTGTGTGTGTGTGTGTGTATGTGTATCTGTGTCCTATTCATTAACTCTCCCTTCTCTCTCACTCTGTTTTTGTTGTTTTGCTTTGTTTTGTTTTAAGTCTAACTTCCTTAAAGGTGGCAAATCTCTTTAAGAATCAATTCTGGACCAGTCACATGTGATTTCATGGTAAATGTCTCACTAAATACTGCCCTACCTTCTTTGTATGCAGCTATTTGTTTTAAAGCTCCATGTGCTCTCAGGGGTATAAAAGCTGCTTCTAGCCTGCCTGGGCAGAGTTCCAGTGTGTTCTCTAAATACCTGCATGTTTCCACCTGTGTAAAAAGGAGCATTTTATCTTGATGACCATTGCCACATTGGGTATAAGCTTATTTCAACTAATGGGAAAGAATTCCATCTCCAGGGTGCACACAAAGGGTTCTTTCTTAATCCCTGTCCTCCGAAGATCTGTGACTGCTGTTTTTCCCCCCTCTCTCCCACCATGAAATTCAAAGCATGAACGAATTCCAGTACTTAGAGAAAATAGTGCTGGAAGCAATTCAACCATTTTACACATCACATCTTCTGCAGTCACTGCATAATTTGTATTTCTAACTCAAATGCCTAATGTAGGTAAGCATGCCATTTAGCACTGAGTCTGTTTTAGAGACTATATCAAATTTACAAGCATCAATTTGTAAGATCAGAATTGCACTGTATTTTGTGTGGATTTGAAAAGTGCCTTAAATGTATTTGTATTTTAAGTGGAGAAGCTGAGCCAGATGCTCATATTTGAAAGCAGAAAATCTGAACATGAGAACGACTTCAATGTCTACATCTCCATTAGTAGCAGGGTTTGGATTACCATCCCTTTGGAAGTTTGATGTTAATACTGTCTTTTATAGATAACCAAACCTCAATGGTATAGGTCATTTGGGGATAAAATTAGATTTGCTTTTTAATTTTTTTGTAAATATTAGGGTCATGATATATATAAAAGGAATACCATTTGGCGTTTAATTATTCAAGACAAAATGGCTAACTGACAAGCTTCTAAGAGAGATTGAAAAATCCTACTGAATAAGCAAGGCTCCCCTTTCTCACATCTTTCACTTTCCTGCAAGATGTTTGGCTGTGTAGTTCAAGAGAGCAGTATTAAATTCTAAGAATACGGAGGAATAGTGAATCACATTTTACTGCCAACAGTCAAAGTTATTGCTATTTCCTACACAGACGGGAGAATAAAGAAAATCATGGTAGGCTTTTTTTTCCTCCCCACATATCTAATGCTGATCCATATTATTTAAGTCTACAGAACAAATCACAAGATTCTAAAGAGAGTAAATTTTGCACCATCTATGCAAAGCACATGCATGGGTCTGATTTCTCCAAATACAAATCTAAATCACTCGAATAAAATGTGATCAAAAATGGTATGTCTGTCAAACAGAATGACTGTCAAGCTAAATGGATTAGCCTATTTTGGGAAATCATCTGTGTCTCTGCTCTTCTGTTTGGGTTTACAGAGGAGAATCAGCTATAACTCACCTCTTCTCCCTTTAGTATGGGTAAATTCCTGAGGACAGGGCCACTCAAATTTAGCTGGAGGAATGTGAAGCCTGGGGTGCTTCACAGGGGATCACTGACTGAGCTCAAATATTAAGGCCATTTTTCATCCACATTATTATAAATGGAACAACACATTGAAATATGGGAAATTCTTGCCAATGCCAGATGACTGACCCCCCACCCTGTGGGATGAGGGAAGGAGACCACTGCTTGGGGCCTTTCTTCCCAGACTAATTTTCTTAGGCATTTTCCCAAACATGATGTAATTAATCTTATAGAACGTAGGCCTTATTAAAAACTCATTAGCAAATATCCTTGGCTGCAAAAGGCACCGCACTGAGCAGAATTTTGGCAAACAATAAACTTCATTGTACTTGGAAAGAAATCGCCTTAGCTCCCTGGGCTTAGAGTAGACAATGTAATTGCTGCCCCGTAGCCCAGCCTCCTGCCCAACTCCAAGTCCAGAACTTTGGAAACTGCAGAGTGGCTCCCACCCTCCTCTACCCTGCCTCATCCCTTTAGGAAGACACAGGCTCCTGGGGAAGACAGTGTTGTGTGCATACAAAATGGGATGACATTCCAAAGTATGCATTATCTAGCATAGAGCCTTGATTGGGGGAAGAGGTGAAGGTGGCCAAAAGTGAAATTAGGATGGCAGGCCAGCTGTGAATAATCTGGAAATGGCATAAGCTCTTAAATGTTGCGTTGTTTTAGCCAATGCTTTAAAAAAAAAAAGGAAAACGAGAAAGAGAGACTCTTATTACCTGAGTAGAGAGGACACATTTATGCCAGCAGGAAGTCACAGGCCAGGCTGTTTTGACAGTTATCATTAACCTGTATGAACAGTGGCTGCTTAGAGAGCCCCAGGCAGAACAGAGCCTGCTTTCTCAGCCTGTCCTGCAGAAAGCCCTGACTGGGCCAAAGAAAACAGGTTTCTCTCACTGAGCTGGAGGACCACCTGAGGAGCAAAGGGAAAACAGATTGATTTGGGGCTCTGCTCCAGCTCTACTAAGTCAGAACCCCTAGAAGTGGTCAGGCCGTCTTGGGGGACAGTAAACTGCAGGCATCCAAGTTCCTCAAAGGAGGGAAGAGGGCCAGCTTAGGTAGATGTTGGTGTTTTCTGTCCCGTCAAGTGAATACTGCAGCCTGAAAGGAAGGGTGGAGGTGGCAAAGCCATGTCTACATCTCTGGTGACAAAACAAAACAATGTTCTGCAGGTCTTGTAATAATGAGCTTTCTCCAAGTAATGATCCAATAACAACAGATACATTTTCCAGTGTTTGTCCACGTAGCAGTCACTCTTCGTATCTAGGGAGAAAATCAGACTTGAATTAAATTGGAGCTATTTGCAGTTCTGACTGGCTGACCTGCCATCAGGTAGAAAGCATCTTTGATCAGTTCTCATTCTTCCTCTTTGAAGATTTATACATATGTATATGTACACACATATAATTTATCTAATCATATATTGTGGCTAGATAGATAGATGGATATAGGATTCATATGCCTCTAAGTCTAAAAAATAAAGAAGGAAGAAAACCCCACTAACTAGCCTCATCACACCCAGAAAGGTCTAGCAGGGCAGCTGCACAGAGCAGGAGCAGGATGTGAATCATTTTTAAATTAGTATAGTGATAAGAAGTCTAAGCTAAGAAAGCCCTCTGGATCATTTACTTCAGTAGAAAACAAAAAAAGAATTCTAAGTGGCAGAATTTTTCTAAGAAAATCTTACTCAGAAATGCAACACACACACACACACACACACACACACACAAGACAGATAAGAAGCAGAGCCACTCTGGGTAGACTGTGGTAGACAAGGGAGACATGGCCTCATGGCCTTACCTCTCCACCACCTCACCTCTGGGCTACACCCATGAAATCTCAGAGCTCTAGAGACATAAATGAAAACCACCCATGAGGTCCAACTTCATTCTACGTGCCAAGCAACTCCCACGACCCAAGAACCCGTGGTGTGGACAGCTGTTCTGCATTCTGGGCCATAGGTCTTCTGCAGTGTCAAGTTCCCTCTCCTCTTCCACACTGCCACATGTCCAACTGTACAAAATGTCCCACACGCTACCATATGCCCATCCCATAGGGTTAAGTGAGTTTCCCTTCTGACAGGAACAGATGTGCACACGACCTTGCTCTCTACAAATGCTGCTCTGCATTAGGAATATCCTAGCCCTGTCTGCCGTCCTTACTGTATGCTACAGTCCATAGCTAATCTTGACCAAAAATTGAAATCACTTTTCAATGGACGCACACTGCAGACTTCTTCAGCTGAAAGCTCAGTTGACTCTCTGCCACCTCAATTTCTGTGTATCCATCAATGGTTCTCAACCCAGCTGCAAAGACAATTGTGCTTAGAAAATGAAAAACCACTCTGAAATCCCAGTACCACAGTTCCAATTTCACTGGTTCAGGGTAAAACCTAGGTATGGTACCAAGAGTGTCTGCACATCAAAAGCAGCTGGGTTGTTTGCCAGTCCCCAGTTTTTAAAGGCTCAATCAGAAACAGTTCTAAACATTGAATTTAGAAGCTTTCTTCTTGGATAAAGTCACACTTTTTTACAAATGTGTTTATCCAGACCAGACCAGTCATGCTGCTGAGCCTTGGTTTCCTCTGCCACTTTGGTTCAGTGGTTTGTTTCCGTTTTTATTTTTATCATAAAACTTAACTGACATTGAAATTTTACTGGTATAAATTTAAGGACAATAAACTGTTTAATTAATAACCAAAAAAATTTTTTAAAAAGGCAGCTGGGTGAATCACTGCTATTCGAATTACTGCCATTGTGAATCACTGAGCTATTCAAATAGATGTCAGAAAGTAGCAAAGGTTTTACTCGTAAGATTTTTTGGTAGAAATCATTGTACTAAGTGATTGTGAATGGATGGAGTCCTCGCATATAAATGTATTACTATTAAGGATGATTCTGTGTATCTCTGAAAACTATGATGGCCCCCTCACACACTGCAGGTCTAAAGAAAGCTTCACTAACTCTGGTGTTCACTTCCAGATTTACAATGTCCATTACACCATGAGTATCAATGGGAAATTACAAGATGGGTCAATGGAAATAGATGCTGGGAACAACTTGGAGACCTTTAAAATGGGAAGTGGAGCTGAAGAAGCAATTGAAGTTAATGATTTCCAGAATGTAAGTATATTTCATGCATTTAGAGAGTTTAGCCAGGCAAGCCCAGGAGACTGTCCCAACTCAAGGAGAAGGAGCATCCCACACACACCCAAGTGGTAACTGTTCTTTACAGTGTCTCATACAGCCACTGATAAGTGCATTTGTCTTATAGCATGTACTTCCTGAAAAAGGACCACGCTTTGTGTTCATATTTTCAAAATGAAAAGACATCTCCATGGGGGAGTAAAATACAACACAAGAAGAATACCTTTGAATGTGCAGATATGCTTCTGTCGTCTCAACTACTCAGGAGGCTGAGGCAGAAGGATCACGTGAACCCAAGAGTTTGAGGCAGTTTGGCAACATAGTAAGACTCCCCACCTTAAAGAAAGGGAAGAGGAAAGGCATATTTACTGGATTCATGTTCTTAAAGAAGTCTGTTTTGAAAACTAATTTTACTTCTAGGAAATGAAAGATACAGACCTAGAAATCAAAATAAAGCTTGATTTTTTTAAAAAATGGGAAAAAATCACAATGCCATTGAAAAGAACAAGTTCTTCCTGGAATTATATAAAGTCTAGGCAGAATGATTTGAAAGAACTATGTCTTTCCAAGTAATTTCCTGTAAAATGGCAAATAAATTCCTCAAACTGTCCTAGAAGGTAATGAGGTCTGAAAATTGAACTTCTAGAGAGGAAAGAAATTTTAATGACCCAATAGTCTCATCAACACTAAGTCAGATCTACCTACATACTTTTCTCCATTCTTCTGACTTCCCATTTAATCCAGGAAATTAGCATGGGCAAATTCCCTATGATAGCCTAGGTTATCTAGCTATGGCCTATTACAGATAAAACATCTGAGTTCCCTTTGAAGACTGTTTTGTCTTACAAAAATTTAATTTACAGGCAATTTGAGAAATTTAGCAATTGAGTGATGCTTCAGCGTACATCTGCAAACCAAAGTGTCACTCCAGGCTTAATTTCCCATTGGCCAACATAAATATCTCGTTCACTCTGATGTTCTGTGATGAGAAGAAGCATCACTATTTGGGTTCTGTTAGATCTGCAGATGCAGTAAGTTAAACTTCATAATGAAGAAGGACCCTTAGAAATACTGTTTCTTCTGAGAGTTTATTGGCCACACACATCTCATCCGCCCATCTCCCTATAATTGATGAGAAAAACCTAAAAATGCTTTTCATTTTAATCAAAACACTCTTTTTGTTGTTATCAAATGCATGTCACAAGTTCTTTTGAATTCCCAACAGATGCTAACATTAGAGCCCTGGGATGTTACATATTGATGAGGACAAGGATTGGCTATGTTCAGAGTGGTCCCTGCCCTGGGGACAGGCTCTGCAGCTCTGAATGTGCCCAGCTGCATTTTGGTCACAGCTTTGCAAATGGCTCTGGACCTATTAAAGGTTTTTACTGAGAGAGCCAGGACAGGGTAAAAGCATTTTTTCTTTGTACTGCTCAATATAAACTAATAAAATGTGGCTTCTCTACACTCATCATTCAGTCCAGAACAAAACTGAACAACTGTGATGGGCCACAATATCAAGATATGCAAAGGGAGCTACAAAGATGAATAAGAAAAGATCTGTCTCTCTCAGGACATTCACACATCAAGAATATCCTTGGAAAACATTTTAACCTCAAGCCTGTATATCTGTTTTATAATCTGCTGGTTCTTTCGAATAATGGGCTTGGTTGTGTCTTGTCCTCGTAGACCAAGAGAGCCACAAATATTTTATAAACTGATCAATTCTCTTTGATAGCGTCTGCATTTCTCTAAGTCAGAACTGGTGAGTAGAACATCTTTTTTGATGGATGGTACCTGTTATAAGTTTAAACAAGCCTGGACTTTTGAAAACACATGAATCAGCCTCTCTGGTCATTTGCTATTACTTTCTCCTGTATTTTAAACCACCACTCAAATAGAGGAAGTGTTGATTGAAGCTGTGTTGTGCAAGGGACAGTGCTAAGCATGGGAGATGGAAGATGACTGATACTCATCCCTCAAGAAACTTCTAGTCTAGTCAAGAGGCAGACACACAGCGGGAGAGAGGGAGAGAGAGAGAGAAATGGCTTCAGGTCAGCCCCGGAAACGCGCTGTGTTGAGCTGTGAGCAGAGTGCACAGAGCTCACAGAGGATTCGCTGCCGATCAGGGGCTGTGAGCAGGTTTGACAAGAGGCGATGATAATTGAATCAGGCACTGAGGAATGGTCTGGACTTCAACAAAAAGAGAGGTAGGGGCAGGGGCTTTCCAGGTCCAGGGAACAATCATGAACAGAAGTGCACTGCTTCCAGTGTGGTTGAACAGTGAGAAGGGGACATGACACACGCATAGGTGGGGCCAGATTACAAAAGGTTCTGAACTCAAATGAACGATCTCCCCTGTTCACCCCAGACCCCAACAAGATTTTAATAAAGCTGAATGGAGAAAAAAAGACCTCCTGAGCTAGAGTAACACTGAAAAAAAACTACTTGAGGCTCTGAACGCTGAGAGCTACAAAAACCGGGTTAATCCATACCACGCGGCTGTATATTCTAAAATATACAGCATTTGTGCTGTTGGTGTAAGCCAAGCCCCTAGACCTAATTCCCCATTTCAATAGCAAAAATCCTGATTCAAAATTAAGAGACTGTACCAGTGGATATATGAGTATTCACTGTATAATTCTTCTAATGTGTGAATGTTTGAAATTTATAATTTAAAAAACTGGAGGAATAAAAGGATAGTATAACCTATCTGGAAGATAGGCAGGCTATTGATTTCAAAAATCAATATAGCCCCCAACTGTAACATAAAAGAAGACAAATTAAGGTACCTTATAGTAAAATATGAATTTAATATGTAAATGCCCAGCCTGATCCATTAGAAGACATAAACTCAAACACATGCATTGGTAGTTGAATGACTGTCGACACTACAACCTAAAACACAGATGGACATAGTGTGTTTTGGCAATTAAGTGTTATGTGATTTTTCTCAAACAGTGGGCACAAGTACCAATTTTTCTCTGGGTATATGGTGGCATACACCTGTAATCCCAACACGCAGGAGGTGGAGACAGGAGGATTTCCAGTTCAATTCTGGGCTGTGTAGCAAAAACCCATCTCCACAGCAACAATCCCAGCTATACAGGAGGCAGATCTCAGTTCAAGACCAGTCCAGGCAAAAAAAAAGTGAGACCCTATCTGATAAAACAAGTTGGGCTTCTTGGCATATACCTGTGATCCCAGCCATGTGGGAAGCAGAGGCAGAAGAATCAAGGCCTGAGGTCAGCCTCAGGCAAAAGCAACACCTTCCCTGAAAAATAAGCTAAAGCAAAAAGGGCTGGAGGTGTGGCTCAAGTGGTGCTGCACTTGCCTAGCAAGTGTAAGGCCCTGAGTTAAACCCCAGTTCTGCCAAAAATTTTTTTTTAAAAACACCAATTTCTCTCCATTTTCATAGTAATTGCATTTCTAGCAAATTTCTCACACATTTAAACTCTATTGAAATCGTTCTGTGTTTATACATAAAATGGCATTGGGTTCTAGGCTTACATAGATATCCACAAACAGTATTTTTCTTTGGACCCCGACAGTTAGTTGTTCAGGACTACTCCAGGCTCTGGGCGGGGACCCGGCATCCCTGGCACTGCCCAGTAAGATCAGGAATCCCCCAGTCTGTGATAACCAGACTACCCCAAAGAGGTCTAAACTGCCCTTTAGGGTCCAGACTCCCTGCCCAACTTGAGAACCTCACGGGAGTCACAAACACAGATGAAATCCCTTAGAAAGAAAACCTATACAACTAAGGTAGAATTTCCTGACTCTTTGGATAAAGAATATTATATTTTTTTAAATCTTCACTTATTGCCTTTGTTAGCAAATTTCTTCGTTATCACCAGCTTCTAAGGCCTTGTTTGCTTATCTTTCTTGTGTTTCTTTTAGTTACCTTTGTTTAATCTCCTAATAGATCTGGCTGCTTGATGCAGATCTGTAGCTAGACACGGTGGTGAATATGTGTGAATTCCTTCCCACTGGTCCCATCCCCGTGGAGTTTCAGTTCTCTCCACCATGTGTGGACCATCAGAACTAACTCAATATTAGATTCACATTCAGTGCTGTTGATCTTCTGTGGAATCTGCTTTCTCCTTTTGGGGTGTGGGAACCGCAGCATAGTGTTTTCTCCCACATAGCTCACATTCAGAGGACTTGAAGGTTTGAAGATGGAGAACATATCAGAGAAGGAGATAGTGGTCTCCCTCCGCTGTCCTCTGTTTTTCAAACTATGAGTCCTAGATTGCCTTGCAGAAATTTGGCAGGTACCACAGCAGAGAGCAGTGGTTCTCAAAATGGGCTCCTCAGGCCACCAGCAGGGTAGCATCCAAGATCTTACTGGAAATGCAAATTTTAGACCTACTGAATTAGAAACTCAGGGTGAGACCCAACACTCTGTGTTATTTAATGAGTCCTCCCAGTGAATCTCATGCGAGCAAAAAGTTTGAGTCCCTGGTACAGAAAGAAAAACTTACTCTGCGTGAGTTCTCTTTGTCCTAAACTGGTGGTCCTGGCTCTGGCTGTACATTATACACACCTGGAGAGTGTTTGAATTCTCAGTGCCTGAGTCCCACACCACCAGTCCAGTGGGAATCCTTGGGGAGGGCCCAGCCAGTGTGTTCTTAAAATCTCTCCAGGGGATTCTGGTGCCTGCAGTCAGACCTCTACAGTCAGCCTTGGGCTCTTCCTCTGTGAAGCAGGGACCATGCCTGCCTCTGTCTGAGAGAACTAGTGCTGGGAGAAATAGCTGAACCCAGTTGGGTGTGTGCACATAGCCAAGCAGGGCTTAACGCAAATAACAAGTCACTTTGGGAAGAATACACCTTTCCTTCTCTGTTCACCAGACTGTTATCCACCAGCTTCTGAACACAAATAGGGTAGAATTTACCATGAATCTCCTCCAGCGTGACTTATGTTTAACTTCATTCTTCATTTAAGAGGAGTGAATTTTGCATGAGGACTCCTAGATTTGTAAGCGTTCTTTGCCCTCCATTCCTTAGAACCATCCCTGGAACTAGTTCTGTGTCATCCTGACATTCATTATCTCAACATAATAAGAGATTATCAGATTATCAAAGTTCAGACTTTTGGTGGCGTTTCCATTAGCATGGCACTAAGTTTGTGAGCTTTAAGGATATTTTTGGCCACTCACTTGTTGTGAAACTAAAAACAGCAGAATAAAAGCAAATACTCCAGGGACAAACCATGCAGTCACCCCTGCATGCACCCCTGAAGGTAGAAGCAGTGCCCACTGGCAACCAAAAGGAAGCTCGTGGCTAATGTTCCCTTGAGGCTGATCCCAGACAGAAGGAGACAATGTTTATATCTCACAGGGGACAAAAAAAAAAAAAGTACCCATGTTTTTGAGTAAGGTCTAGGAACAAAATTCATCTCCTATTTTTTTACAATTGTACAAAGGTTTTCATTGTGGTATTTCCATACATGCATATGAGGTACTGTAATCGTATTTACCCCCTCCATTGCTCTTTTTATCTCTTCTCCCCTTTTAAAAATAATTTTTAATGGGCTTCACTATTTTATTTTCATAATGTATTTTGATCATAGCACACCCTCCCACCATCTTCTGGTTTATAGAAAGCTTTTCTGTTTACTCTGGGCTCAGGAATTAATGGAGTTAATTTGACAAACATTTTTTTGGGAAAAAAAATAAAGACTCAGATACTGATCTCTAGAAGTTTGTAATTGAGTGAGCAGTGTAGACTAAGTATCAAATGACAAGGGGACTTTAGTTGGAGGCAAAAGGGCTGACCTTGCTGTGGAGCTCAGAGAAGACTGTGTTGACAAGATGGCAATTATCTGAGCTTCTGGTGTAGATGGAGTAACTAACTTACTCGTACTCTGCCTTCACTCAGATGTCACCCCTTGCAGTCACTTCTCCTAACCATGCTAACTAAAGTGCCACCCCGGTATTCCTATCCTCCTACGCCTTACTTTTCTTCCTAGCCCTTATTTCTACATGACTTCATCTCTATTTTTATTATTGGGAAATAATGCTAAAAGGTAAATTCCATGAGAACTGGGGTTTTATGTTTTGTTCATCCCTATACTTGGCACCTGGAATGGTGCCTGGCACACAGTAGACAATAAAATTAAATAGATGAATGGATGGATAGATGGACAGAAGATCTTTTATCTCACAGGGCATCACGGGAATCCGTTTTGCTGGAGGAGAAAAGTGCTACATCAAAGCACAGGTAAAGGCTCGTGTTCCTGAGGTGGGCACCGTGACGAAGCAAAGCATCTCTTCTGAGCTGGTGGGTACCAACATGTGCATACCAGGAGAGAGTTTGGCATACACTGCTTGAAGGCACTACTTCTTCAGTCTCTAGATAGGTTCATGACTAGGATCTAAGTTTTGTTTCTTCTCTGCCAAAGGAAGTTAAGCTGTTTGTCCTACTGCCTCCAAGGGATCATTGTGATGTAACGTAGCACATTTAAAGGTTTGCTATAGCCATATTTTAAGGTGCATTAAGAACATGGCACTCACATAATCCTTATTTGCTGGATGCTAGCACTACCTGGTCAGTAATTAAGGTTTCACAATAAAGATAAATGATTCCACAAGATAGAATCTTCATTAAATGGACTTCACAAGCCCTCTAAATTTCAGCCCCACTCCACGTGGGAATTCTCCCCAAATATTCTGGATACTACTAGAAGCTTCAACAGGACCCTCTCCCTGTGGCTTAGCCAGTTTCTAATTGTTTTGCCCAACATTGAGCAGAGATGGCTCCTCCCACAATTTCTTCCCTTTAGTTCAAGGTCAGCACAATGAAGCTATAAAACATACAACTAATTCCTTTTTTATGTGCCAATTTGTGCATTTAAAAAAAATTTTTTTTAAATAATTCTTCCATTTATTATTGTAAATTGTCTTTAAGCTTAATTTTTAAAAAGAATTTAAGAACTGTTCAGAGTTCTGAAGACACATTTAATAATAATACCTTACATTTTTATGATACTTTAGGGCTTACAAAGTGATCACACCATTATCATCCACTTGAGCTGTGGCAGGTATAATGGAAAGAAAATAGACCTTGGAGTCCCAGTTCTGACACTTGCTATGGATATGGTTTTCACTCCTTGAGCCTCAGTTTTGTCATCTGCAGACTGGGGGTGTATGCACTATGCCCACCACCATAGAATCTACTAGGTGGTGAGTGGAAAACTGCAGCTCATTATTGCTAATTTTATTAGGATCATCTCTGAGCTTTCCAGCATCCCTAGGAGGGAAGTGAAGCAAGTGTCAGCTCCCTCAGGTAAAAGAGGGAAAGTGTGGGTAAGCAAAAGTACCTGGAAACCATCTGTTTGTTTGCCCCCGTAGGAGCAACAGCAGCCAGTGTTGTCTCAAAACAAAACAAAACACAAACTAAAAACAAATTTGTGAGTATTGAAAGCAGGCCACCATGTCCTCTGTTACCTCTTTCCTAGTCCCACTTTCTCTAATGTCCATCCTGTGAGTTGGTTTGCGGACCTCCATTGCTCCATTCCCCTGTGAGGACACTCCAGCTTACTTCTCCTGCACTGAGCCACTCAGAAGCCAAGGCCATGTTCTTCCGTGAACTCACTAACACCAGTCCAAAAACAGGATCAAGACCTCCTTTGTTCTGATCCTAGAGCTTCTCCTGAGTTATCACTATTTTTAACAGTCATACCACTCAGCTTTTGTTAGGCCATTTCCCCCATATGTGTTGGTGTCCTCTCATGCCTTTCACAAGGACCAACTCCCCAATTTATCAAGATCTAATCATAGCTTTACCCAAATTTTGTAGTGTTTCTTTTTCAGATAAGTTTTTTTCCAGATTTTTAAAAACAATACTTTGTCACTGTAGAAAATTTGGTAAACACATAAAAATGCAGAGAAGAAAATCACCCATAATTGCATGATCCACAGATAAGTAATGTTAACTTTTTGGTGGCTTTTCTGTATGTGCATGTGATATTGTTTTCATAAGTGCAATTAGACTGCTACACATTCTGAATATTTTCACTTTAGCTCTTTTAAAATGTAGATTTTTATGTCTTTTATCTTCAAACATTTCAGATGTCTTCAATTTTTCATTATTTCAAACAATAATCATTGAAAATAACCATGGTAAATATTTTGTATTTTAATCCCTGTACCTGATTCTTATGCCACAGAGGTAGATTATTTATCCTGTATTTTAGTTGTTTATATCATGCATGGTGGGTCCTCTGATGGACAAAAACCATTTCAAACAAACTGTTTGTTTGAGTTAGGCTTGTGCTTAGCTGTCAGTGGCAGGTAACTTCAGTTAGAGTAACTGCAGCAAACAGGGGTTTGTTTTCTCCAGAGTAAGCAATGCAGAGGCTACAGGGACCCGCTCTGCCCAGCATCTTGGTGATTATTTATTTATTTAGTCTCTTCTGCTCCAAACATGACGGTTGCGCACTGCAAACCCTGATTTACCCTTATCAGGAATAGCAGGCCTCTCAGCCCCCCAACATACTTAGCCTGGATCTCAGTAGCCAGCACAGTTCACTCTACCACCCCTAGCCAGTGGAGGGCATGAGAAAGCAAGTGTCTCTCCTGGAGCTGAGTACACTGCTGTCAACAATAAAGCAGGGTTGTGTTGCAAGGTAGGAGGAGGAAGGAAACTGGGCAGACCACGTGCACCCAGGTTTATTTAATGTTCTTAGCTTATAGGACACATCTATATGCATTATTCCAATCATCCCACTCCTCTCCACACCACTTGAGACTATGAGAGGACAGATTTATGTCCTAAATTTTTTCATCAGCTTTCTGTAACTTTAAAAAGCTACTACACTCAAAGAGCATTCATTTCCCAGATGGAGTCATTTCATTTGAGGTAAATAACTAGATTACCTGACTGTTAGCTTCCTCCAATAACTTTAAGTTGTTTTAATGCAACCCTACCCCTGAGGGAGAAAGCATAAATGAAGTGCTGCTTTTAGCTAAAAGTAAGGAGAAAACATATTAATTTCTCCAACCTACTGCAAACTAATAAATACATGAAAGGAACAACCTAGCAAAAATAAATTTGTCTCCTGGGTTATCAAACCATTCTCAGCAGCTCACTGTAGAAGAAAATCCAGGGTTTAGCTTTGAAATCTCAGTGGCGTGCTTGATGTGAGGAACATCTGAAATATGTTTTGTTATAGCTGGGAAAGGGAGAAATGGTTTATGTTAAATAATACTTTGAACCGAAGACATTAAAGAACCAATCACTTGCTTTTTCCATTGTTGTTTGGAAACTGCAGAACAAAACCCCAGCAGATTTTCACATCAAATGAAGGGTTCCTCTGTCCTTCATAGGATTTTAGGGTCTGTTCAATTGCTTTTCCTCAAAAACATCTTTGATCAAAAACATCAGATTAACCTAAATCTCAAAGTTGGTATCAAGTAATTTTCACTTCAACTCAGAACACTTGTGTTCACACATTACAGCTATCCAGAGGAAGGCAGTGGAGTGGGTGTGTTGAATATTGTGACAAGAACTGTGAAGGGACTGGAACCTTTGAGTGTGCATGCCCGCACCCGCACGTGCACTCATGCACATACACACACATATTCTGTCTGAGTTTTCGTAGGGTAAAATGATATTTAAACAACATGTGACTTTATATGCAGCAGATGCCACCACCCCCTTTGCTCAAATGCATTTCATTTCACTTACAGGAAGGCAAGATCATGCCAGTTAAATATGAAGAGAATTCTCTTATCTGGGTGGCTGTCGACCAGCCTGTGAAGGATAGCAGCTTCTTGAGTTCTAAAGTCCGTGAACTCTGTGACAACCTCCCCATTTTCTGGCTTAAACCCGTGTATCCAAAAGGTAACACTTAAATTCTTATAATGGGTACTGGACTCTCCCTTTTACTGAGAGTTTCCTCTGAGCCCCTCCGCAGGCTTGTGCATGCAACAAGAACATACAATCAGGATGCATGTGGTGGTGTCTCCATAGTTAGCATGAGAGGTAAAGCAGAAGGAAAATGACAGCCATTACTGTGGAGTGGAAGGGAAGGAGCAGCAGGGCTAACAGGAGGCAGAGCAGGAAGACAGAACACCACTGCATTACCTGTGGTACCTACAGCTTTTATTGATGACACTCCCGCTTCTTGCCACTCTGCCTCTTAATCTCAGTTGTTTGCACCTTCCAGTTTTACATTTTTTAATTCTTTAGGCATAGCATCAAGGGACGAAGAAGCTGTCATGCTGGTGAATCTTTATTATGTTCAGACCTAGAATTATGGGACAGCCAAAAGCTGCTGTGGGTATAGGCTGAGATTCCTCAAGTTTAAGGCTTGAGCATCAGCTTCCAAGTCTATAGAAAATAAATGCATGATCCCTGGGGCTCGGAGTTAGGATGGAGGATAACTTTGAGCTATTTCCAAGTGATGAAGGGCAGGGGAGCCCACAGGGACTCGCTCTTTCCCCTGAGTTTCTCCAGTCCACAGGGGACCTCTCACTTTACTTCACTGTGGTCACCACACTGGCCTCCCAAAGGCCTACTTTGTAGTTCTGGTTCAAGTGTGAAAAAAAAAAAAGGTCTTTCTCTTAGCACAGCTGAGATAGGCTGTGTTTTCTGACTTTATTGAACACCATGAAAAAGCACTGAGGAAATGAAGAACATACAGGCATCGTAACTACAAGGCTTTTTATTTCGGGGTGGGGAGGTGGTTGGGATGGGGCTGAAGGCATGGCTCAAATAGTATACCATCTGCCTAGCAAGCTCAAAGCCCTAAGTTCAAACCCCAGAATCGCTAAAAGAAACAAAACAAAACAAAACAAAAAGACTACCAGGCTTGGTGGGGCCCTGGGTAGCGGTGTTTAATAGGTAGTTTAAATTTTTTACAAATGAAAAAAGTTCTAGAGGTAGATAGTGGCCATGGTTGTGCAGCAGTGCCATTGAAGTGTACGTCTCAAAATAATTAAAATGGTAAATTTTGCTATGTCTGTTTTATCACAATTAAAGTAATACTTCACCGGGGTAGAAAGTGCAGATTTCTGATTCTACCATGACTAACTTATTCTTACAGCTCATGAATCCCAATCTCTTCCAGAGCATGGAGGAGATGGCTACTCTCCAGGCCAGGCCAGGCCAGGAGGATCCAATGTATAAGCACTGGCAGTGGCTTCCTGGCACAGAGGGTGAAGAAAGATCCTCAGGCCACATGTAGGCTCAATGAGAAAGAAACCTTCTCTGGAAAGAGTGTCTGTAATGACTGGAGGGGGCTGGAGAGCAGGCTGCCACATGGACTGTACTTTTGTCATTTCTGCTCTTGCCCAGTGGCTTCTTGCCAAGTTCTGGCTTTCCATTCCCCACCCTCCATCATCTAGGTAGGCCTTCTTGCTTTCTACCACTCAGGAACCACAACCTCTTGTACAAGAGTCTCCCACACTGGTACCAAGTAGAGCTCTCCCTACTTGGGAGACAGCCTCTTACCTAGAGTTCATTCTCTCATTCAACAAAATTAATCAAGGCCTATCATGTGCCACAAAGCTTGTTCTAGGTTTTTTGAGGCACATCAGTGAATACAATAGGCAAGATTCCACACCCTCAAGGAAGTGTAGCAAGAGGAGACACCAAATTAAAATAAGGAAATTATACAGTATGATACAAGATTCTTTGCAAAAACAATAGTGCAGAGCAAGGGGTTGGTGAGTGGGGGTGGCAGGACAGTTCTATTGGTGGTGCTAAGATGACAGACACAATGAGTAGCTTCACCCTTAGGAAAGAGATTGTTCCCTACATCCAAGATGGCCTTCGGTCCCTCGCAGCCCAATAGCATGACCACATCTTAAGTATTCAGTCAATACAACATCACACAAGAATGACACATGTTGGACTGGGAGTACAGCTTAATGACAGAGCACTTGCCTAGCATGGGCAAAGTCCTGGGTTTGATCCCCAACACTGGAAAAAAATTCACATACTACCCACACCAAAAAAGTAGAAACCACTTACATGCTCCCAGATTAGAAAAGGATTAAATAAATGTTGGTATATCCATAGGATGGAATATCACAGACATTAAGAATTTTTTTTCCATTCTAATCTCTCTTAAGTGCAGTTATATTTTACAATAAAATGAAGGAAATAAGTCTCCCTCTAATAATGCCTACCTTCTTATGTAATTCTCATAGACACCCCCAAGTCCAGGGTCAGCAGCCCCTGCCTTTGGATCTTGAAGCCAGCAGGCAATCAGTGTTGCACAGCTAAATTACCAAAGGCACTGTGAAAGGTGGCTGGACACAGGTTGAAAGGGAGGGAGGGACAGCTGATGTCCACAGAGCTCTGACCCTGAGCCGGGCACTGTACTAGAATGTCATGTTTGTCCCCATTTAATTTATACCAACAACTGTTAGGGTAACTACTCATATTCCCATCCTAAAATGAAGAAAGTAGGGTTCAGAGATTAAATAATTTGCCTGAGGTCACTCAACTACTTAAGTAGTGGAGTTGTGAGTTGAATTCAGGTCTCCCGATTGCCTCTCCAATTATACTCTCTATGGAAGTTAATTACAGCTTTAGAACACTGACCAAAGTTGTCATAAATAACAAAGCATGACATGTGGGTGCCTATTATATGCAAAACACTGTACAAAAACCTTTAGATACAAATTTTCATTAATACTATCATTATCCTGAGAATTAGAAATTATTATCCCCATTTTATAGATAAAGAAACAGAGATTCTGGCAGACACCAAAGTACCATATTGTGTGGTACCTTCCATCTTTGTCATATGGCCATCAACCATCCTGTAGGATCCATGAGGCAGCGTGGCTAACACAGCACTGGATTGAAAGACAGAGTTCATATCTGGCACCTAGCCCTGATACTCATCTTGTTATCTGGCCAAGTCACTTGGTCTTTCAGAACTTTGGTGCCCTCACACATAAATGCAGCTGCTTTTTCTATTCCATATGATTTTTTATGAATAAACCAAGATAATGTCCATGCAAACTGTAAAGCTTTATACCTATACAGTCAATCCATTAAGAATACATAGGGCTGGAAGTAAAAGACAACAGGGGTTTAAAAAAATGTGGGTTTAATTTTGTGTTGTTTTGTATAGCAACAAGCATGGAGATTAGAGGTTTTCTGGCATTGTCAGCTATTCTGTGATACCATCAGATATCTGTCTAGGTTTCCATTTTGCTACCTGTAGTACCGTGGCTTACCATCCTTGTACTTATCACTTCACAGTTACAAGTTGGCTTTCCTAATTCCAGATATCACATCTACATTAAAGAAAATGGACTAGGGATATAGTTCAATTGTAGAGCATTTGCCTAGCATGTGTGAGGCTCTGGATTTGACACCCAGCATTGGAAAAACAAAGAAAGAAAAAAAAAAAAGAAAAAGACAAAGGAAGCCTTACCTAGGCTCTTTTACCAAGAAAGCAAAAGTGTTCCTACTAACAACACTAACATATTCCTCTTATGTCTTAGGTGAGTTACTCCAGGCCACTCTTCATTGCAACGGAGGCAGAGAAAATTTTATTTATTCAGCTGTCATAGTGAAGTCAGGCAAAGAAAAAAAAATGTGTGGGGGGTATTGAGAACAGAAATTTGTCAACAATCCTCCAATGTCTGCTTGAATTATTATAAAACCTAACAGGGACTAGGGGAGTAGCTGAAGTGGTAGAGAACCTGCCTAGCAAGTGTAAAAGCTCTGAATGCAAGCCTAGAACCTCCAAAAAAATAAATGAAAAAAAAAATAGGAAGCTGGGTATGGTAGTTCACACCTGTAGTTCCAGCTACCCAGGAAGATCACTTGAGCCCAGGGGATGGAGGCCAACCTAGGCAACATAATGAGATCCTGTCTCAAAAAACTAAAGCAAACACAAAAACAAAAACCCAATAATCAAGTTATCTGTATGCTTAACTATGAACCAAGACTCTAAAACATATTTTGTTATTACAGAAAGCATCATTAGTACAAAAACTTAAAAGTATTTAGCTATGCTTTCTGGTTTTTTTTGGTTTTGGGTTTTTTTTGGCACTACTGGGATTTAAGCTCAGAGCCTCATGCTTGCTAGGCAGGTGCTCTGTCACTTGAGCCACATCTGGCCCTTCTTTTTTTTTTTTTTTGCTTTAGTTATTTTTTTGGATAGGGTTTCATGGTGGCCTTGGACCATGATCCTCCTACCTATACTTCTTGAATAGCTGGGACTACAGGTGAGAACTAGCAAGCCCAGCTCATTTGATATTCTTATAGTTCTCATTTTGAAAAATGCAGATCTAATTATTATTAGATCTCAATTATTCAAATAAAGGTATTAATTTATAGCAATTTTTTGCAGAAATCCAGAGAGAAAGAAGGGAAGTGGTAAGAAACATTGTTCCAACTACCACAAGAAGACCATACAGTGGGCCGCTGCACAATCCAGGCCCTGGAAGACCAAGTAACGAAACTAGACCCAGTGTTCAAGAGGATACAGAACCCTTCAATCCTGATAACCCTTATCACGTATGTACTGGTATTTTTATGGCATGCTCAGGCGAACATAATGCTAAAGTGGTGTTTCTGCTTGGGGTTTCATATGAACACTTAGTGTGCAACAGAACGTGACTCAATTATTTTTAAAATGTATCTTTATCTACTTGGCTCATGGTTTATAATTAAGGGGAGGAACACTTAGGCATTGCCTCTGTAGTGTAAAATCCTTATTGGTTAGAAAGGATTATAATTTCAAGTTGCTTTCTGGGCTCTCTTTTTGTGTCACAGGAAAATCCATGAAAACAAATTCCTATCAGGAATTTGATTATTTTAAAATGTTTCCAGGAGTGTGCCCTGGAGGCAACACACTGAATGAAAGTATTCTCATCCCCCTTTCCATCTACTTTACTCAACCATTCACCAGACATTGTGGAGTACCTGCCCTGCGCGCAGAGACAGGAGTACCTTCTGCCCTCAGGGGCTCTTAGTCCAGTCAGGATAGACGCATGCATACCTAACAGCGCTTCGTACTGAAGCACTGACTGAGAACTGATGTTTACAAGGATTTAAGGTGCTAAAACCTCAAATCTTCCAAGATTTGATAGTTATTTACCATAAGTATACTTTGCAGGTAGTAAAAGGATAGTATTTATTTGTAACTAGTTTTTAAAGTAAAAAATAAGGGTTTAAAAAAAAAACAGTACAAAAGGGTACGGTGAAAACCTTCCAACCCAGACACCACCCTCTAGAGTAGCTTATTACCAGTGACTATTTGGGGGTGAATTTGATCAAAGTACATTACATGCATGCATGTAAACATCACAATGAAACCCTAAGTACAATTAATTTATGCTAGTAATTTTTGAAAAAAGAATATGAACAGAGTGAAAATGCAGAGTAAAAATTAGACTATTTTCTTGGTTTCTTGTGTGAAGACACACAATTTTTAGCACAAAAATTCTGTACTTTGCTCTTTCCAGTACCAAGACAGTATTTTGGAATTTTTTCTGTATCTTCTATGTAACAGCCAATTTATTTAGTAATATTCACTTAGTGATATTCCCATACATGGATAGGCGTGTGGAAACTTAACTAGTGTTTTGGTGGACATATAAATTATTTCCCTCTTGCTATTGTAAATTCTGTTGCAGTACACTACCTTGTACGTGACTCAGGGTTAGAGGAATGCAGGTAATGCAGAGGAAGCTCTTAGCATACATCTTGGCACACAGCATTGCTCAGTGTTAACTATTAGTATTATAACTCATGTATGCTTCGAAGTAAATCTTTAGTATAAATGCCAAACATGTCTGCTACATCAAAGTAGATGGGAATTTTACATTTTAATGGAGGCTACTAAATTGGCTTCCAAGCAATCATACCAGCTACGTCTACGAATGGTAATGGAAACGTTTATTTTGTGGTGCAGGGGTTGAACACGGAGTGTCACACATTGAGCACACAGCCTACCACTGCACTGCATAGCCCAGCCCCATCACTTTTAATCTTGCCAGTCTCTTGGGAGCGTAAATTCTCTCTCCTGGTTATCCTGTCTTTAATTATGTATACGGTTAAACATCTTTTCATGTGCTAAATCACTAATGTATTTTCCCCATGTAGCCTATTCAGCCCTCCACTGCTTCATGTTACAAATATATTTTGTAGTTTATCATTTTAGACTATTTTAGAACGATTTAGAGCAAAATGTATTTTCTAAATAACCCAAGGCTTACCAGAAAAATCCAGAATGCCATAGTACTTCATTCCATCAGCTCAAAGATGAACAAGAAAAAAAAAAACTGAATAGGCAAACAAAATTTAATAGTTTTTTCTCCAGGTAGCTAGGCTGGCTGACCCTGTTCAAATGTGAGGGCACCAGCCCCATTACAGAATGGCAGGATGTGACTTGTCTGCCCTGGTTCCAGACTTGAGTGATCCATATTCATTGAAAAACTCCAATTAGATAAATTTTTCCTTTATTAAATGTTGAACTTCAGGCAGAAATAATTCAAGCATTTCTCCCCATGATCTCAATCCTTTAGACACTTCTTTAAGAAAAATCTTAAAAGCAACAGCCTAAGATTTCCTCCCTTTTTAATCCTAACCACCTTTGTTGGTTTCCTTAAATTGAGGAAATACCTCAACCACCAGGCTCTTTATGCCCTTTGTCCCAAAAGAAGTCAGCTGCAATTAATCAGGTGGTTGTCTTTTTGTTGCTCCAGATGAACCCATTTCAAGAGATAAGGAGAAAAAGTCTTTAGAGGGATGTTAGAAAGTAAGATAGTAGATATTTTGATGGCATTTATACAGTCTGTATCAGATAGTGTTAAGGATTTGTTCATTTTGTTAGGTGTGATAAAGGCAGCATAGCTGTGTAGGAAAATGTCGTTTTGGAGTTATACTCTAATGTACTTATGGGTGAAATAATACAATAACTTCAAATTCATGTCAGAATTTAAAATACCTCAAAAAGAATAAAAAAGCAAATTTAAGAAGTTAGCAATTGTCACATTTGTATAAGTATTGATGCTCAGTGCAACAGCTTCCTCCACTTTTCAGTGAATTTGACATTTCTAATATTCCCACCCCAAGTTAAGACTGAAGACTGAAAAAATAAAAATCCCAGAATCAGCTACCTCCAGGAAGAAGTGTTAAACTGCACAGGGAATTTAAAGATGAGGACGTCTTGGCATTATAGTTCAGAATATTAAGACAGCATCCATACAGAACCCTGATCCCTAGAAATCCTTGAAAAGGCAGACCACATAGGCAAAGTGAACACAGGGCAAGTTTCTTCGAGAATTGTAATATGTCCAGCAGTGAAAATGGAAAGTTTTACTTCATCAATATGATTTTGCGTTTGGTAAAGTTTAAGGTCTTAAACTTCTACATATTTTTATGGAAGCTTTTCTGAGCCCTTTTATACCCATAGAGAGACCATCCCCCTTCTGTTGCTAAAGTAAAGGGAGGAGAAACAACTTGAGAGTACTCTGGGAGCCAGTGGAACTAGAACTGAAATCCATCCTTAATCTAGATCAATGACGACCATGAAAGCCATTACTACAGGAAGGCACCAGTGTTCAACATAAAAATGTTCAACATAAAAATGTTCAACATAAAAATGTTACTTTTGTTTTCTTATTTAAAACAAATTGAGTCACTCGGTAACCATGTTTCACTAAAGGATGGGGGAACTTCAGAATATCATTGACACACACACACACACACACACACACACACACACACACACACACTATATTTCTGCCAATGACAGATTAGGTGGGTGAAGATTCCTTGGTGTCAGAAGCAATTCTGAATGGTGGCAGGTTACAAGATAGGAAACTTACAACTATTATGACTCCTCATAGCAGTGAACAACTCGGTTTTTTTGTTTTGTTTTTACCATACCGGGGCTTTAATTCAGGGTCTTCACCTTGAGCCAGCATACCAGCCCTATTTTTGTGCAGGGTTTCTTGAGTTAGGGTCTCACAGAATTGTCTGGGCTGGCTTTAAACCACCATCCTCCTGATCTCTGCCTCCTGAATAGCTAGGATTACAGGCATGAGCTACCAGGGCCTGGCCCAACTCATCTTTATTTTAAAGTATCATGCATGCTAGAACCTTCTCATTATGTAGAAAATACAACTAATCCCTTTATTTCACAGCAGCAGGAAGGGGAAAGCATGACATTTGACCCTAGACTGGATCATGAAGGAATCTGCTGTATAGAATGTAGGCGGAGTTACACCCACTGCCAGAAGATCTGCGAACCTCTGGGAGGCTACTATCCATGGCCTTATAATTATCAAGGATGCCGGTCAGCCTGCAGAGTTGTCATGCCATGTAGCTGGTGGGTGGCCCGCATCTTGGGCATGGTGTGAAATCACTTCATGTATTTGGCACTGTCAAGTAAGAATTAACTTGAGAGTTGACAACCAAAGAAAGTATGCTGATGCTGAGGGGCCACAAAGTATTTTATACTCAACCTGACCAATGTCGTCCTAGATACTTGTAAGATTTTCTGAATTGCTTTCCAGAACTGTTATCTACCATGTGCAAATGTACTGAAAGGGTAGTGTGTCTACAATGTCATAATAATCCCTTCATTATTTGCTTTGCTTTGACAATAATGCCTACTGTAAGTCTTCCTCAGCTATTATGAAATAAACAAAACTTATTTACAATTTGTCAAAGATCTCAGTCATGCACTTGAGTTCCTTCTAATCAAGTCAGGACCAAAACCATTCCAGTCATTATTTGTACAGACTTCCTCAAATGTTCTTCATCTTCATCCTTCTTCCCAGTCTTGCAGGTGGGTCTCCAGAGTTCCCAGATAAAAACTGAAACAAAACAAGAAACTAGGACACACAATGGAATCTACCTGAAACTAAAGATTATAAACTTCAATTTGGTGGCTCATGGGGAATTCTTTAACTACCTGTGCTGCCAAGTGATTATCAAGTGGCACCCCTGTGTTGAGTATTAGGATAAAGGAATTATGTATTTGACGGTAAATCAGAACTTTATTGACATTCTGAAAAGCAAGTCTTCATACTTTTTTCAATCTATTTTCAATAAGCGGTCACTGAGCAAGCAGCAGCATGATGATTTATACCTTTGTAGTACAAATCAGGTTGCTGATGTAGTCCAATTACCACCAAGTTCCTCTCCTAGCAATAGGGCTGACAGTGCTGCTTGGCAGATGTGGCTGAGAAGGAATAGCTTATTTATTTATAATGACATAAAGGAAATCTCTCAGGAACAAGATACCTTTAGAAACTATTAGATCAGGAATATGAGTATTTTTTGACATTTTAGTTTTAAATCCCACAGTTTGAGAGAGAAAACAACTTTCATGAAGAAAATAAGTTTCCCCAAACAGAAAGGCCCCAATATCATGATCTCACTACACTTTCACTCTAAACACACCTTACTACTGTATGTCTGGTGCTTGCCAATTAAACTCTACATAAAGACACGGAATTTAAAGACCTGGTTATCAGATGCTCAATTTAATGGAATACATAAACTCAATCTCTGAAGAAAAAAGGATGAAAGGACACACTCTAATTACATGTAATGGTCACACTGTTCTCAGGCAGCAGCTACTTCCTACACACTTAGTCCTTAAAGCAGTTGCCATCCTATTAACCAGGCAAACCAGCAGTTCTGCATACCATCTTCCACCCACGTGGTTCAGTAATCTGTCCTGGGTTCTAAAAATAAGAAAGAGATCAGAAGATATACAGATGATCAGTGTTTAGTACACCAAAGCTTTGATAAGGATGGAAGCAATGAGCTTCCAGAAGCCTACCTGTGGTCTTCAAGATGAGCAGGAACTAGCTCAGTGAAGTGATAAAGACTGGCATTTCAGATAGAGGGAATAGTTTGAGTAAAGCTAGAGGTGTGAAGCTGTGTAGTACAAGCAGGGAAAAAAATATCAAGATGGAAAAATAGGTAGAAGGTATACTTTATATGGGATATTAACTTGGGAAACTTTTTCTTTTTGGTAGATTGGGGAGAGATCACCAATGAAAGGTTCCAGGCAAAGAGGTGGCTGGTTGTTCTCATGTTAAATTAATCACCTTGGTAGCACTCCACGTGAGAATTGAGTGGATTCTAGACAAGTTGAATGGAGATCTTAGCAACTCAAAGACGTAATGAGGCTGTCAAAAAGAAGCTCCCCTTTTAAAGCTCCATAATCAGATGAAGATGGAGAATATGTTTTTTTGTTTGAACTAAGGGCCTTGAGGCTTGCTAGACAAGTAAATGCTTTACCACTTGAGCCACATCTCCAGCTCTTTTTGATTGTTTTTTTTTTTTTTTTAGTAGGATCTCACATTTATACCCACGCTGGCCTGGACCACCGTCCTACTTAGGCTTCCCGAATAGCTGGGATGACAGGCACATGCACCCAGCTTTCAATAGTTGAGGTGAAGTCTCTTAAACTTTTGCCAGGGTGGGCTGGCTTCAAACTGTGATCCTCCTAATCTCAGCTGCCCCAGCAACTAAGATTACAGGTGTGTGCCACCGTGCCCAGCTAATAATTTACTTTTTACCAAAAGTAAAAAGTAAGTGTTATGAAAAGCCACCAAATACCCAAGGACAGCAACTTAACAGAAAAAAAAAATTGTACGTTTTAAAGGCAAAGTGGAAATTCAAGGTTAGACAAAGTGTAGGAATGACAGAAGAGAAGCAAATTATGTCCCAGAAAGAAAACTAAGGTCTAGTTTGAAAGAGAAGAATCAAGGGTTCAGAGAGGACAATGAAATAGAAAGCTCTTTATGACTTAAATACTAATTTTACTGATAACCGTGACATTCCAAATGGTGGAAAATCTTTATATGAGTATAGAGACATACATATTGGTGGTATCTTTCTAGTTTCCAGTGGTGATATAAACCAATCCTCCTAGAACATTTTAGGTTTTCAAGATCCTAGTGTGACTCAGATTGGAAGGGTGAGCTACTACTGTCTTAAGATGCAGTAGATGCCACTTGGCTGGCAAAAAAGGAAATGAAGAAAAGGTACTGCTGGCTTTCAATTACGTGTAATTATTGTCACATTGGCTTACATCACTGAAATATGCCAACAATCCTCCACTGCAACAGGTTTACAAATCTGTCAACCTCATCCTTACATCTCCTCTTCCACTACCACCTCAAACAACACTAAAAACTAGATAAAAAAAACAGATTTATATGTAAATACTATATGTAAATTTATATATAATTTATATATTTATTTATATCATTTATTATTATATATATATGTACACTAAGATTAATCACTAAATCCACTCAACCATTTTCTTATTATCAGGTTTTATTACACTCTGAAATACAATCTACAGTTTTACAAAATACAAATTCCTGTGAGTGGATTTCTGAATAAGCTGATGACATGAATTTGTCTAATGAAACATGTATTTTATAGAAATGTTCACAATTTTTTAAGTTAACTTAAAAATTTACCAAGGGTAGAAGAGAACTGACAAAATCTTTATGCATAGATAGTCCTAATATCAAATCTCAAACATGAAGATGTACATTTGAGTCAATGACACAAACTTTAGCAAAAACATTTTACGGACAATGTTTATAAAAGAAAGGAGAACTTGTTCTAAAGGGCGTTTGTACATACATGCATACTTATATTCTATATGTATTTACAGTTGTGCTTCATTTTGAAAAAGCCCAATATTAGAATCAAAATTACAAAACAAGCTAGTGTTGGTTGATAGGACTCATTACAGGTTTCATTTATTTATTTATTTATTTTTAATTTTTATTTTATTCATATATGCATACATTGTTTGGGTCATTTCTTCCCCTTCCCCCCACCCCCCTCACTACCAGGCAGAAACTATTCTGCCTTTATCTCTAATTTTGTTGAAGAGAGAGTATAAACAGTAATAGGAAGGACCAAGGGTTTTTGCTAGTTGAGATAAGAATGGCTATACAGGGAGTTGACATGCATTGATTTCCTGTACATGTGTGTTACCTTCTAAATTAATTCTTCTCAAACTAACCTTTTCTCTAGTTCCTGGTCCCCTTCTCCTATTGGCCTCAGTTGCGTTGAAGTATCTGCTTTAGTTTCTCTGCGTTGAGGGCAACAAATGCTATCTAGTTTCTTGGGTGTCTTACCTATCCTCATACCTTCCTCATTTAAATTGCTTACATTTAAAAGTATTCAGTTTACATACTGTTTTTGAGTATTTGCTGTGTAAAGGTAAGTACATCTATATATTCAAATATTTATGTATACACTTTTTCTAAGATGTTTGGCTTACTGAACCTTTTTCACATCTTAATAGTTTTTACACAAATTATATAGGAGTCATCTCTATGAGGGTGTTATCACCATGGAGAGCTAAAAACCAGTAATGGAACTGGAACTAATATACCCACAGTAACTAAAGTAAGTCTAGTTAAAACACCCAGTAAGAATAATTTAAGTGACCTACCCCAACTGATTCCCATAAGTTTAGTAATAATTTACAGATGCTTGCTCCTTTGTGCCTGCTCCCTTACAAAAACTATCTTCACACCAGATTCCTACAACTGATTCAGAATCCCTGAAAATTAAACCCATTCCTCTATGGATGGCTACAAAAATTCTAATTTTGTAAAAATTCTTGGCAACAAGACAATTTGGAAGTATACCTCTGTATACTGTCGCCACTGTATCTGCAAATACAATTGGAATTATATTGCAAATTTACTTGCAGTTAAGTTTTTTAAAAAACATGACTTTTGGGGCATCCTATCTTGCTGTATTCCAAGGTGTGAATAATTTAATTGCTAAGAATTTTCTTTTCAACAGCCTATAATTAATTAATCTAGACAATTACCTTTTTCATGATGAATTTGATTTGTACTGCCATAGTCAAAGACCTGGAAAACTTAGTCAAGCATAATTTTAGCAGGACATAATGCTGTTAAAGGTTAAGTAGTTTCTTTTCAATCAAAACCATATTCCTGTTAGTTACTGAGATAACTACAAAACTAAGTAGTAAAAGAGATCTCCAGACTGGCTGAGTGGCTCAAGTGGTAGAGTGCCAGCCTAGCAAACCCCAGTACTGAAAAAAAAAAAGATACTCCTAAGATGTACATTAACACACATTCTACTCAACCAGTACCATACTTTTTAATATTCCCTTAGGACCTTCTATGTGTATCCAACAGGCAACATCCAGTTGCTAAATCAGAAATGGTGCCTCATTATGAATCAGTACTATAGCATGCACTCCAACAAGGGGATTGGACTTTGCCCTTGATCTAATGTCCTCATATGAGGGAGAACATACGATTTTTTGTCTTTTGGGCCAGGCTAATCTCACTCAGAATGATGTTCTCCAATTCCATCCATTTATCTGTGAATGATAACATTTCGTTCTTCATGGCTGCATAAAATTCAATTATGTATAAATACCACCTTTTCTTAATCCATTCGTCAGTGGTGGGGCATCTTGGCTGTTTCCATAACTTGGCTATTGTGAACA